CACCAAAGTAGGTTACAGGAGAGTATATAAAGTGGGTTTGGGAGCTCATGGGACACAGAGGGAACTGGGCGGCCAACAAGACTTTGTGCATGTCACATTGTCCCCTTACTGGAGCAGACTACGACAGAGGACAGTTCTGGAGTCACACAGTGGGGAGGTAGTGGGGTCTGAACCCCCAACAGCTGGATGAACCAAAAAGGGAACATACCAGAGCAGCAGATGGAGCAAAGCAAAACCATGAATCCCCTGAGGAGTTCCCAAAAAAGGGACTCCAGGCTGGGAGGGGCAGCTGCTGGACAGTCATGAAGGCCAGTGAACAGACCTGAAATTTTTGTATACATCTTCTCTTTTCTTTCCTTCTTGCTTCTTCTCCTTTTCTCTTCAATCTTTTTTTTAAAACAGTTTGGACTACGTTGTAGTTGGTGTGCCTACCTATATAAGGTAGGCATGGGAAGCATGCCCAAGGAGGAAGCAGTGGGACCAACAGTCCTGGGGAGACCTGGGAGGTGAGCTCGGTGAAGGAACGGGGTGGTGAGCAGGCAGCACCATAGACAGGGGAACAACTAGGGTCTTAGAGTCGATAACAAGAGGGAGATAGGGACCCAGGGTGGGGTGGGAGGGTCAGAGCAACAGCAAACTAGCTAAGAGGAGGTACCAAGAGGCAAAAATAAGGAGAAAGTGATGGTGGGGCAGAAGGAAGGTAAAAGGAAACAGAGGAAGGGCCTAGAAAGCAAAGGATAGAGGTATAAACATAGCAGTGTACATATGTAAATATATTAATCCACAGAAATAGAGGTATTGGCCTGTGTACATATATTTATACGGCAATACACTGAGGTAGTGGGCAGACTTCGGGCCTCTGTTCATACCTTCCCTCAATACAAGAACACTTTGTTCTAACAAATTGGCAGTATGAGGTGCTCACCCTCCTGACACAATCACTGAAGACAAACAGGTGCATAAGCAAATGTGGTGAAGAAGGTGGATGGTGCCGAGCTATTAATGATAAAGCGTCTGCAGTCTTAAAGGCTTTAAGTTACACAAGCCGCCATTCAGCAGAGAAGCAACAAGCCCACGTGGAAGAAGCACACTGCCGGTGCGATCATGAGGAGTTATCGGGACCAGATGACCGGCATCAGCAAACACATAACAAACAAACAAAAACATATTGTTGAGAACGAGAGGGGTTGGAGCAGAGATCCAAAGCCCATCTGTAGACAGTGGGACAATCCCCCCACAGAGGGGCCACAGGGAAGGGATGAGTCAAGAGTCAACCAGGGTGCAGTAAAGCATTGATGAAACACACTATGTTCCTCTGGTTCCTTGAGGCTTCCTCATCCCCCACTACCATGACTCCAGTGTTGCTTCTCAATTCAGACTAGACCAGAGCATGTACACAGGTATAGATAAGAGATGGGTGCTCATGACACACAGAATCCAGGAGCAGGAATGAGAACAGCAATACCTGAAGGGTGGGGGGAAGTGGGGAGAGATGAAGGGAGAAAGGGGATACCGAACGACTGATACATAACCATACACCCCTCTCCAGGGAGAAAAACAACAAACATGGGGGAAGGGAGATAGCAGCTGGTGTGAGATATAAAAAGAATAGCAATTTATAATCTATCAAGGGGCTATGAGGGTGGGTGTGTAGATGGGGGGAAAGAATAATTTATAATTTATCAAGGGTTCATGAAGGAGGGAGGGGGGGAGGGGAAAATGAGGAGCTGATATCAAGGGCTCAAGTAAGAAGAAAATGGTTTGAAAATGCTGATGACAACATATGTACAAGTATGCTTGACACAATGGATGAATGTATGGATTGTGATGAGAAATGTAAGAGCCCTCAATAAAAGTAGTTAAATACACACACACACACACACACAATGAGCTTACAACTGGAATCTGAAGAATGGAGCAGAATTTCCTCCCTTAAATGACTGTCTTCTCACCAGAAAACTGCTAAATCCATCCCAACTGTGGGTGTTTCTTTATAAAGGTTTTTAAAATTACAGCTGGTATGTTGTTAGGTGCCATCAAGTCAGCACTGGCTCACAGCCACCGTCTACGCCACAGCGCAAAACCCTACCCAGTCCTCCACCACCCTCACAATGGCTGTGTGCTGGGACCCACTGTTCAGCCAGTGTCCTTCTCTGTTGCGCATCCCTTCCAACCTGAGGGGCTCATCCTCGGGCACGAGACCGGACAATTTGCTGCTGCCATTCATAAGGTCTTCAGTGGCTAATTTTTAGAAGTGGACCACCTCTTCCTTCTTGGTCTGTCTTAGTCTTGAAGCTCTGCTGAAGCCTGTCCTCTATGGGCGACCCTGCTGGTGTTTGAAACACTCGTGGCATTAGCTTTCTGTATCACAGCCATATGTGAGCCACCGCAGTATGACAGATACGTGGAGGGCAGTTAGTATGGCGAATGTTCATTCTCATCATCTTGTCAGTTATATATAAAGAATACCACTGTATGTACTTTGTGTTACGGAGCCCTGGTGGCTGAGATAGGTTGGGCTGTTTAACCATCAGGTCAGCGGCTAAGACCTACCAGTCACTCCAGGGGAGAAAAGGGAGGCTGTCTGCTCCAGTAAAGGCAGCCTCAGAAGCCCTATCTAGGGTCGCTGTGAGTTGACGCTGACGCATTGTCAGTGCCTTTGGGGATTCTACATTTTGAGGGAGGGAAATAAAAATAAAGTGGGTTTCCATTGTGCAAAACATTTGCTTGTTTCTGCTTGTACAAAAAGCATGAAGCATTCTGTGGACACTAGTTCTGAGGGGTAGAATTGTAGGCAATTCTATATTGCCTACATTTTTACAAAGGAGATATATTAATATCTGATAAATACATATTTATTATTGGAAAGAAATCATTCCCAAGAAAATCTATACAATACATGCACCTTGGCAATGATACCCTGAATTTGTAAAGTGCTGAACAGTTTACACAATACATTTTTGTCATTAACTTGTTCAGTGTTCTCAACCTTCTAAGTTAGGAAGGACAGCAAACACTTTATCATTCGAGCTCCCTTTGGACCCATCTTAAAGTTGTTTCAGTTTTTAACATTTTATGCTTTCTTTTCGAATGAGGCTTTTCTATTTTCTCGTGTTTGTTTTTCCTGTTTCACATGCTCTTCTGTATAGAAAGCCCAGGGTAAGTAGCTCTATCGAGATAGTAACTGGATTGATAATTACCTGGGTGTATGGCAGGGGAGAAGGTGCAGCTGGGGGATGGGGAACTAGCAACAAGTATGAGAAGAAAATATTCTGAAACCGATTGTGGTGATGAATGCACAAATCTTAATTGAATGATTCAATTGTATATGAAGTATATCCCAATTACAATATAACGGGAATAAGCAAACTCTCAGAGAATTTACATGGCACGGCTCTGTGGGGGTATGACGCAGGAATCCCTCGAGTAACTGGCTGTTCTGTTCCAAGGAGCAGTGTCAGACAACCTCAGGCCGTAGGGAACTGCAGCAGCAGTTCAGGCTGAGATCCCATTCATGCTAAGGAGCCTTCAGCCAACAGGAGGTTTACACCAGTTATCATTGAACGGATACTGACTCACGGCAACCCTATGTGTGTCAGAGAACTATGCTTCGTAAGGACCATGGAGGATTTCCTGGAAGTCGACTGGCCTTTCTTTAGAGGTCCCTCTGGGAAGAATCAAAGCTCCATCTTTTCAGTTCGTAGTTGAACATAAACAGTTACATCACCCAGGGACTCCACAGGGAGAGTAGATCTGGTCATTTCTGTCAAATGAGGCTCTTCAAATGGATAACTTTTTTTCTAGTCTCAAGTTGCTTGAGAATTTTTCATGTGGTCGCAGTCCCAGGCTGTCCTGACCACTTTCTCTCACAAACATGAGCGCCAGTAACCTTCCTGAGTTTCTGGGTCATTGTCCCTGTCTCCAAGGGGACTCTGACATTCATGGGTCATTGTCCCTGTCTCCAAGGGGACTCTGACATTCACGGCTTGCTCCAAAGTACTCTCACATCAGAGTTGTCAAGCTCTGACCTAAACTATACTCTCCGAATTCCATGAAAGACTTGGGGAACTAATTTACATTTTAGCTGGACTCCACTGGATTTAGCTCAAAGTAGGAATGAAAGAATGAACGTGAGGGAGAGATGCAAGGTACCAGGGAGAAGACGGCCATCAGGGCCTCCCTTGAGTGACTGAAATGACGACACCTGATCTATTTGCTCCATCCAGAATATTCTGGAACAGAAGCAAAGGCCAGACCAGGATGTAACAGTACTGTGTACATAGTTCTAGTGTTGTGTTTATTATGCGAATGGCAATCTGTATGTCTGATATGAGCATTCCAGGATAAGAACTGCACTTTAATTCAATTTTGCATCCTCAGCACTTAGAAGCCTATCACGTTGGGGCACAATTTAGTTCCAGTTCAGTAACCCCATGTGTAACAGAATGAAACATTACCTTCCCGCGCCACCATCAAAACAGCTGTCTGAGCCCACAATTGTGTCAATCCTTTTCATTAGGGTCCTCCTACTTTTCACTGACTTTCCCTACTTGACCAAGCATGGTGTCCTGCTCCAGGATTGGCTCCCTGTTAACACTTCTAATCAAGATGAAATCTCACTATTCTTGCTTTTAAGAAAATAAAAAGCATTCTAGGTATACTTCTTCCAACACAAACCTGTTTGCTCATGTTTATTCACTAAGCAACCTTCTGATTGGAATTTGTCTACAGACTTGTCTTCAGAAAGATTATACTGAGCATTCTGCTCTCAATACCCGTTGTCTCACTCTGTAACAGGCATTCAGGTTAATGTAATCATCTCTGTGGGATTGCTTAGCATGAGCCGACCCAGAGAGGTTCATTCCCAAACGACAGATTGACTTTCCATGAAGGCCAGTCAGAGACATTTCCCTGGAGACAATACTTCCAGCCTCAGCCTCAACTGAAGCCTTTCCATCCACAGAAAGGTTAAAAATTAAGATGTAATTGCAAACAAGTAGTACAATTTATTAATATTTTTATTTGTAATGTTATCACTTCAAAAACCCACTGCAGAAAAACATCCCGATGATGACTTACCAATAAAAAAGTAAGTCATCAATGTTTGATTTATAATATAGAATGCGCAATAAGTTATATTTACATGCAACGACTAGACTATCACACACGGTAAAAAAAATACAGTATTTTATGTACATCTTTTAAGATTTACATTGTCATATACATTTTATAAAGTTAAAAAAGTCTCTGTACAAAATCTAATGTGTACAGAGTTCATATATTCCCATTCTTATGAATGAACCACCCACACAGATATGTTTAAAACTATAATACTACACTTTTCTTGTTCTTCATATTCCCTTTTGGTACTCATATACTAATACCATTATTTCTGAAATGTAAATAATAAATGAAGTAAAAAGCAACCATGCAGACATTTTTAATATAAGAAAATTAAATGTTCTACTAGATCAACATTTATCAAGTCCACAGTTACCTAATTCTGTTCAACTTCCTGCACTGATTTTGTACAGGTGCATGCAAAACTAGCAGATTCTGGATTCATTTATTAACACATTAAAATAATACTATAGTCTGACAATACTTAGACATTAAGAATGCAACTAACAGCCCTAGCCTGTCAAGTATTTCTGCTTTAGCAGAAACATCAATGACATTATATACTAAAATTCACAGAAATATAGATTATAATTCCTAACTTTAGAAGGTCTGCAGCAGTACACATTGATCATTTAGAAAAACAACAACAAAAGGGTGTTGGGCATTGAAGAGTGTTTTCTCTGCTGAGAATGGGGTTGAGGAAGTTCTAAGATAAACCATTAAAGGGTTATCCATTGTCCCTGCTAAGGAAGCATTTGCACACTTCCAATCTGTTTACATAAAGACACCTGAAGATTTTATTTAAAAAGTTTAAGATAACTGACATTATTCATCTTTAAAAATCTTAAAAAGTAGTAAATTTTAAGAAACTGCCCTTTCCCTCCTCCCCTAAGTAGCCAAAGATCGACGAAGAAAATAAAGTGCCAACGTCTTCAATATTTTCAATCATTTCGAGGCACTAATCCATTTGATGGTTTAGGATTAAATACGAAAATAGGCCAGGTCTGATCTGAGTGATAATAAACAGAAGGTAGGTAATTCCATTCCTATCTAGATGGGGGGTGGACCAGAAAGCTACCTACTCCCCATTTATTGCTTTGAAACCTGTGAATTCTGACGCAGAACAATTAGATTTCTAAGATGGAAAGCACAGTGCCTGCGCCACTTTGAAGTTGAAGAAGAAGGTGCATTCTTGATCCCGGCTGGGAGAGCTGCCGAGACACTCTTCTCCACAACTCATATCTTCACCAGAGTCCTCACTAAGGTGAAAAAGGGAGACAAAGAAGAGTCCATTAAAGAGCACACACTTACAACGTTTTACAGGCAAGACTGAAGTGCTATCAGCACTCAAGTCTTAAGATTCTTTCCTCCAAAATTTAAGCTTTACATAGAGAAAATTCATAAAGAAAGAAAAAGTCCATTGTAGTCGCATCAGAAAATACAATGTTTAAAAACCAGTTCAAATTAGCATTTACCAAACTATTACTATTTCATCAATTAATACCGTATATACTCGAGTATAAGCCAACCCGAATATCCACCGAGTCACTCAATTTTACCACAAAAACTACATTAAAAATGTGCTGGAAAAGTTGGCTTTTACTCGAGCACAGACAGTAATTCTGCCAGCGCTTTATTATTGGATTCTAAATAACTTAAATCAAAAAATGCAAACTAAGGGCAATATATCTCTTATCAGTTTATTTAGAATGATATGAATGTTTCCCTTGCATTGATACTTTCAGATACCAAATCTAGAAACCAACAAGTTACAAAAGGGACAAAAACATCTCACAAATTGTAGGAAGGAACATTTAAAGTCTGCCCCATTAAAGGGGCAGTGGTTCCTTTTATTTTCCAGCTAACTACTCTGTATTCTCTTTTCACAGTACCATATTAGGAATTCATACTAACATTTCAAAGCCCAAAATGTTCTAGTTTTTTACACTAAACTATTTCAAACAACGGGGGCGGGGATCTTACATTGAAAAATAAAATAGAGATGAGCCAGTCAGAGTACAATATAGCACCGATGAAACACACAACTTTCCTCTAGTTCTTTAATGCTTTCTCCCCCCGACTATCATGATCCCAATTCTACCTTACAAATCTGACTAGACCAGAGCATGAACACTAGTACAGATAAGAGCTCGCAACACAGGGAATCCAGGACAGATAAACCCCTCAGGACCAATAATGAGAATAGAGATACCAGGACATAAGGGGAAGACAGGGGTAGAAAGGGGAATCAATCATAATGATGCACAAATAACCCCTTCCTAGGGGGATGGACAACAGAAAAGTGGGTGGAGACAGCAGTCAGTAAGACATGGCGGGGGGTGGGGTTGGCGGAGAGGGGAATTACTAATTTATAAATTATCAAGGGCTCATGAGAGTGGTTTGGGGAAGAGAAAAATGAGCTGATATCAAGGGCTCAAGTAGAAAGAAAATGCTTTGAAAATAATGATGGCAACATATGTGCAATGAGCTTGACACAATGGATTGTGATAAGAGCTGCAAGAGCCCCCAATAAAATGATTATTAAAAAAAAGAAAACAGATAAGGCTTCTAAAATCATTAGCTATTTAATAAAGCTACAGTTAATTTTCTCACCTGAAGAAATGATGGTATTCAAGTAGAACCTATCTCTAATGCCTTATTTTATAATATTGTATGGTTATGCTTAGAATAACAAATTAGTGACATGTAGTCTGAGGAAAATTAATTGGTCAAGGAACTTACTTACCTCTCACTTTCATCAAAACAAGCCCCCTCCGGTATTGTTGGCAACTCAGGAACACTATAGTAGCTGTTGTGGAGGTTCTGAGCTGTGCGCCGTGAGACAATCCAAACCAGCTTCTTGTGATCTGGTTTGCAGCATTCCGGAGAAGAATATTCAGCGAGGCATTTAGAAACTAACTCCCTCCAGTAAAAGAACTCGGTGTCATTAACCTGGGGGGGAAAGATTTTGAGAGATTATGGCGGAGAAATCCACACCTTGGATTCCATCCTGGAATCCCCGAGGAACCAGTTAAAGATCTGGTGCCAGGCTCCCAGATGCCGTTGCTGGATGGGTGTACAAACTATTTATGACCTACAGAGGACCCCTGTGGCAGAGTCGAACTGCTCCATAGGATTTCTAGACTGTCACTCTGTGTGTGCAGGCTACTCGCTTTCTCCCACAGAGCCACTGGTTAGGTTCAAACCACCAACCCTTCAGTCAATAGTTGAGGGCCTAATCAGAGGGCCAACAGGGCTCCTTCCTTCCACTGATTTAATTGATATGGAGAGCAATCATGGCATCAATATTCTTTAGAGCTCCCAGGTATGTGTCCAAAAGGAGAGTCATAGATATAAAAAGTTGACGATTCAATACATAGAAAGTTTTGCTTTTAGAATTCACACTTACCTAAAAACGTGTTAGGTCTGTTAATAAATCAACTATCTAGTCTACTGTCTGATAGTCACAACATGAAAGAATTACCAATACTTAGAGATTGCTAGAGTAAAACATATTTGAGTTATAATAACATACATTTTTATTATAACACTGGATATATTCGAATGGAGAAGTTAACAAGATGAGATATTTGAAAAGGAATTTGCTACCAAGGACATAGTTCTTCCACCACTGGCGAGTGCCATGTTTTATTTCAAGGAATTCAGATAACACTGTACTAAGTTTACATGGAAATCAATAAGCACTTAAGAGCTGTAAGTTATCTGTATTACAAAAAGATTCAGTGTGTGTTTTCATTCTTCTTGAAAATCTCAGTGGTCTACATTTCTGCTTCCCATTACTTGTCTAAAAATACCTTCCTTCGCTTGACTCCTAATCAGGGGAAAGGTAACATAGCTTCAACTGACCCCTAACAAGGGACTTTCCATAAGTTTCTTAGGTTTCAACCATCACTTCTGGAGAAATTCCAAATCTCAATTTCCAACTGCACCTTATCGTGACTTTTTATTCCTGCCAAATAACTACTATATATCTACCTAGCAAGACGGTACATGAATACCTCAAAACTATCCTTCCAAATTTCCTGTCAATTATGTCCATATTTTCTCCACCAATAAATCCAAATCTTGATCATTTTTAACTCCTTAACTCATTTTCATGCACGTCTTCCAAAACTATTTGAGAATTGGACCTACTTGTGACTATCTCTTAGGCATCGGATCTAGAAGTCAACCCAAAATCGGTTTCCTAAACCTTCTAATGCACCCACTTTCCTGGCTATGAGCATTTCCTGCTCAAACTTCCACAAAGATTCTTTTGGACACCCAAGCCATGTTACCGTCTCTCCTGATCTACTCATTTTCCAACAAAATACTCTCATAGGTTTCCAGACCTGTGTGATCTACTGCCCTTTTTGCAGAAGTAAAAATCACTCAGTCCCCACCCACCCCAGCCCTCCCCCTGCAATTACAAAACGTTTTTGTACTATAGCCCATAATCCAGAATAAAGTCTATGTAGCTGCTTTTTTAGCACCCTTTGGATCATTCCAGTGCCCCCCACCCCAGGTATGTATCACCCACTTTGGGAAACACTACTTTAGATTTACTAATGATCTAGCACTGAAAAACAATAATAAATGACAGAATACAACACTTCAAGTTAAGGTCCACTTCTCGCCAACTAGTCTATTAGATTAAGAAAAGGTCAGTGTCTTTATTTTAAATCTATTTATAATTCCTGAAATACACTGTGCTGGCCTGCCTACAGGATTTAAAAAGATATAATACTGATGTTTGGTAATGTTAACAATGGGATACTAATTCAATCTTATGAATGTAATGGGATGTCATCCTACTCCAATCATGTATTTATTAGGTCTAGTTTTAAAAATACATTTCAGAACAATGTACACAGATGTGATGTTATTACCATCTGACAAGAATACTACAGAAGGGACATCTGCATGCTGCAAGAAGATGGGCTAAGTGACTAATTTCCCTCTCACTTTAGTATGTATGGGTCAAAGCTTCAACACTCAAGATGTAAGGGGTATAAGAGCCAAATAAAGGATGGTGGGAGCTTTTAAATTTGTGAAACAATGCAATTAAAAGTGAATAAAGTTATTCCATGAATTTTTTGTAGCCCTAGTATTACTTAATGGTTAAGTCACCGTCTTAAAAAAAAAAAGTAGGCAACATTAAAAAGGAAGACTTTTTAAAGAGGAGAACTAAGGATATTTACCTTGGAATGTTTTTTAACAAGTAGAAGAATTTCCAGTAATTCAATGGATTTCAATGTTTGTACTTCCAAATTGAGAAGGCACAAAGCTAATACAGATGGCTAGAAAAAGGACAAACAGAGAAATCTAAGTGTTTGCTGAATTTTAACACAAGTAATGTGTGATATAGAGCAGCAGGAAATGGACTTACTTTTGCTTTTGAAAACACAAGTCGGCAGCTGCAGGCTTTCAGCTGAGCTTCTAGCTTATCAAGGCTCAGTGTTTCTTTTCTATACAATGCAAAGAAAGAACAAAACCTCATCAACCAATCAAAGATTTTAAGGACTTTCCATTAAAAGCCAAAATTGAAAGCTTAGAGAAAATATAAACAAAAACTTAATGTACAACCAAGCTCAAAGATCAAAACTTTATTGTTAATTCTACTGACCTTTCTGAAGCACGACAAAGGACAATAGTGTGGTATAAGTGCAAAAAGTTTAAGGCAGTAGTAGCTTCCAACTCATAGTGCAATTTTTCTGAAATTATTTTTTCCATCCTTTTTAGGTCAGAGGCAGTACATTTACATTGACTAATCCGGATTACATCATGAGTGGATGGAATATTGCATTCTTCTTCAACTATTCTAGCAGCCAGTAAAAAACAACATACTCCAATACAAGACAAATGTTTAGGTTTCACCTGAAAAACAAACAGATGGCTTCTCTTAACAATTGTCACTTTGATTTAATAAAGGAAACCCTTTAAAAAGTTTATGAAATATCTTTCTTTAAAAATATAATCAGACTGCTTGCCACATAATTACTTGTCTTAAAACTACAGTTCTACTTCGCAGTTTTACATTTCAGACCTAAAACACCAACAGATGGTAGTGTTATTTTGAGCATTTGAATTATTCTACTACAAAATTTTTTTCCTACTTCTATTTTGTTAATTAAAAAAATTTCCCCCCATTTTATTGACATATATTTCACTTATCACACAATTTAATCATATTAAGATCTGTGCAGTCATCACCAGTTATTTATTTCATTAGAATTTTTAAAGTCTAGTAAGAAACAAAAGAAATTTCAATGCAGATTCAAATGCTAGGTCTCAACAGTTATATTTTGTATTTCCAATTATGAAATCTGTAATGGTACAACAGCCCCCTAAATTAATTAAGCCTTTTAACATCAAGAAAATATACCACTTTCTTTGGCTATAAAAATACTTTCTATTTATCTTTGTAGGCAGCAAATCTTTAAGAATCATTGCATGCTTCAATACAAATGTGCCTAAGAGAACTACCCTCCCAGTTCCAAAGTGGAACATATGTAAAGGCTGCCTCAGACAGATGGCTACCCTTTCATTTTCAGTGCCCAGAAAACTGACCCAACAGTGAATTCAATCCTATTGGCAGAAGTTGCAACTACATTTCTTGTAGTTGCTGGTTGTGGTTACTAGAACTGTAGCACCGTTTGGAGACTTCATTAGGTAGACATTAGGTAGTAGCATACTACTACTTCCATATACCATGCTTCAGAGTTAAAAGCATGCTTTTTGATGATGAAGAAAAACACACCTTAAGGTCTAACTACATATACAAAGAATACCTAAAACACCTTAGCTTTCATTTCGACATAGCTTCAAAAAGAAAGTGAAAGGAACAGCAATTGTAACTTGAGTCACAATACACTTGTTTTGGAGTCTTTATCCAGCAGTACACATCACAATTTCAGTTTTGTATGTGACATGTGATTTTGTATGTTACATTCCCTCGGCAAATTGAAGCCTTGTCTGTCAGGCATCATGCCAGGCACAGGGCATAAAAATCAAATCAGTATTTACAAACGTGATTAAATACCTTCATAAGAGCCAAAAATCTGTCCAAAATATTGACAGCCAGGACAAACGTTTCAGTGCAAGATCCAAAAAAGTTGGTTAAACTCCTTAAATCTTCTACTTTGGCATTTCTCAATCTTGGACACAAAGTGTTATCATTCTGCAAGAAAGACCAAGAACCAAAGTTTATGATTTTTCTTCGAATGAGAAACTGAGGTGGTTGTTCTGAGGTGCCAACGAGTAGCTTGAGATTCAGAGTAAACCATGAAGAACAGACTGAATGTTGCCTAGTCTTGCACCATCCTCACAAGAGTAGGTATATGTCAGCCTAAGGACAGTTAACGTCTCAACAGATTTATATAAAGTGCTCCCCACCCCTACCCCTAAATTTTCCAGAAACTAGGAGGGGAGAAGTTCTATCATTTTACCAAAGCTCCACATTTCATCAAACTTTATGTCAATCATTACTTTTTAGAGATATTCACTATTCCAAAGCTCTAGAGACCCAATATGAGCTGCTGCCGCACTTGCAGGGTAAAGCATCAAGTACAATTCAATTCCCTTAGAATGGAAATAATGGGGTCCTTGTTATTGTTTTTTCCATATCTTTAATGATTTCAGATGCGACTGAAAATAAGGCGTAGTTCATGGCCAGAGGGTATTTCAACAAATGCTCGGCTTTAATCCCAGGAAACTCCCACTCAGAAGCAGTGGTTCTGGGGTGACACATTGGAAGACACATCCTTAGAGTTTAAAAGGAACAGTTCTCTCCAGTTAGCCTCACCTCATTCTAGCTAAGAAACCAAAAGAAAAAGAAAAAGGAAAAAAAGCCGGGCCCTGTATTAAGGCTTTTCGTACTGTTTCGAGGGCCCCTGGTGGTTAAGCTGTTGGCTGCTAACTGCAAGGTCACCCAAGCCCTGGGGAAGGGGAGGAGGGGCTTACGCCTGTAAAGAGTTAATGTTAGAAATTCAGAGGGTCAGATCTACCCTGTCTGATAGATATGGTCGCTTAGGAGACTATTTTTAGTCTTAAAACACATTGTGGCTGACTTTTATTCAACTGGGAAAGGGGGAGTTGTCTCCTCCAAGCCCCAACCACTGCTGGGACAACTCTTGCCTGGGAACTTACCTCCGGGGTAGCCTCTATCAAGCTCAGCCCTTTTTCTCGTGGTTGGAATCTCTGTTCCTGTTCCAAGTAAAGGTTCAGCAATCCCAAAAGTTGGACCCCTTCACGACCTGCCAAGTCCTCTGTCCCCAAATCCTTCATCTGCATCAAAGAACCCATACACAGTAAGAATATGCCCTCCGGTAACGGGTGGAGGTAGAGGGCAAGGGTTTAAATGGGCAGTGGCAACACCTCTCCAGCAGTTTTGGCACACCCCAAGGAGCGGATACCTGTCACGTAGGCCAAAAGCCCAGCGCAAACCTCCCCCTGGGGTGGGGAGCTGTGGCAGGGGGAGGGGCAGTGGTCACGTCCGCCCGACGGCACTAGGTCAGGCTCGCCAGCTTGGGGCGCAGCCTAACAGGAAACTGCGCGGCAGGAAACTGTCCCGGCCCGAACACCCGAAGTCACCGGGTTGGGGCTCCCGGCCGGCAGGCGGACAGGCTGCACCTGGGCAGCCAGTGCGGCGGGTTCTGCCGGTGGGGACGCTGCACGGTAGGGGGCAGGGAAGAGAAAGTCTGGCAGCCGAACAAAGAACCGCAGGAAGGAGACACGGGCCCCGCCCCGCCCGTAGCCCCAGCCTCAGGAGCCCCGAAACCTTGCCCATCCGCCCGGCAGTGCTCGCTCCCTACGTGCCCAGGAGCAGGGAGCCGGGCCCCACCGTGTGGCAGGGTGGCGCGGCCTGCAGGCCAGGGTCCGGGACCGAAGTGCAGCCCGGCCCGTGCCCACTCAACACCGGTCCACTTACCAACTCCGGGACGCCCCAGTTCTGCACTTTTGGAGAGCCCCGGGGCTGCCAACCCAAGAAGCGCCACCCTTGGCAAATAAGTCCCTGTGACCAAATAGGGCAAGGGACGCCGACGCAGAGAAC